GACATAACTGGTTGAAGACTGTACCACCTCAGTCAACCGTGACCATGGGACCTGTAAAGGGCCCGAAACGTCGAAAATATACGCGATTTAAATCCGGAAAAATAGTTTCATTCCTATTTTTATGGTTGATATGTTTGCTGTTCCATATTGGTGGTATTTCTAAAACTGCTAAAATTATTTCCTCCGACAACATCTCTAAATTTGATTGAACGAAAATAGGTGTGGGTAAGCAGCAAGACGATACTACAACTATTTGAACACGCATTCACCGCTCGACTGGAGCGCGACACTCGTGTACCGCCGCCCGCGCTGCTGCTATTGAGAATGTCTAACTTTGCATGTAACTTAGACATTTTCCGCTGCCGATGTCGTCCAGTGTAGCCTTAACTGCGATACAAATGCTCGTTTTTGTCTCGCAGTTGAATCATTAGAAACAGGCATCGCGATTTTATAATATATTGTACCTAAAGATTGACGATTAGTGACTGTTAGTGCTACTGCATCGCGACTGAAATTAAAAGTTCAAAAAAAAGTGAAAACGCTAAAAAGTAAAAAAAAAAGCTCAAGTTCTTCCATACGAAAGCAAAATCCTTGTCGTGACGTGTGGCTATCCTATTTAGTAACTTGTTAACGCATTACGTTTATTATGTAGAATTATTAAACTGTTGTTCCGACTGTAATAGGTTCCTATATTAACGCTAGACCGTTATAGTTGTTAATTATTGTGTACATTTATTATACATACAGGCTGACAAAAAACCATTGACTATATTGAATTAATGAATGAATGAATAAAGTTTATTTATTTCTCAATCTTTCTCAATCAAATTTATTTTAAAGGAGCATACTGTATATTTTTTTAAGTCTATTATGTCTCACTGCTGGGTAAAGGTTTCCCCCAAAATCCTTCATTGCTCCCTGTCTTTGGCGATCTCCCACCACCCGCCCTCAAACCCATTAGGATCGTCTCGCTACCGCCTTCTCGGCTGTCCACGCCGTATCTTTCCATCCTTAGGAGTGACGATCACCTACTTCTCAGGTTGCATCCGGCTAACGTATCCCGCCCAATCCCTGTGAGCATGGCTGTTTTGCTCCCCACATCAATAATGCCAAAAGAATAGCAAAATCAACCATTAAAATTGCTCATTATAGTAAAATTTAGGCGCTATTTACGAAAATAAATCTTCATGCGTGAACAGCCACCCTTAGAGGTGGATGATTTTCTTCAAAATTAAATGGGACCACTATGGAGGTATCCTCTTTCCAACAAAAATGAATCATGAAAATTAGTTCACAAATATCGGAGTTATCGCGTAAAATACATACAACAAAAAAACATACGGTCGAATTGAGGACATCCTCCTTTTTTTTGAAGTCGGTTAAAAAACGAAATATATGTTTGTTACCTACATAATAGAATCACAAAACAATCTTCGAGATTTTTAAATATTTTTTGTCTATTAGCCATCAGCTATCTTTATAAATATACCACTTAACGCGCTTAATTTTTGTCTTGCTACATGTATTTTTTACTTTAGAAACGATTCAGTATTACTGAGTATTACCAAAGAGTAGAATAAACGTATATGAGTATTAAGGACTATCCCACACATCAGGGTCGTGCCCGGGACGTAGCTCGAGGCTAGTTTGGCCATGAAATTGTCCTTAACTCTTCTCTTCTTTCTAAATTCTTCAAAAATGTATTATTGTCGTCTTCAAATCTTGCCATCTCTTGTGTACGAAGTTGATTTTCGTTATAACAGTTTGATAAAAGCGCAATTTTGACAGTTACTTTAATTTTCATTGATAATGATAACCTAAAAACAGTAGCGGCTTGTGTCTCTTGATAAACTCGATAGGTACTTGCGAAATCTGAAAAGGGCGCCGCCAATAAGCAGAGATTTTTTCTATATTTTTTCTTAAAAAGCAAAATTAAATTTATTGTATCCATATGGGTGTAGCAAGGAAGGTACTCAATTGGTACGCGAGATTATCCCCAAGTCGAGGTTATGCAGTGCCTCCTTACCGGCATGTCGTACAAATTGGAGATCCAACATTACGTAAAGTTTCGGAGCCTGTTCCATTGGATAAAATAAACTCAAAAGAAGTCCAAATGGTGATAAAGAGGCTAGGAGATGTACTTAACACGTACGGAAGCGTTGGAATGTCGGCGCCACAAATTGGAGTTAATTTAAGGATATTTGCAATGCAAAATACTTCTAAGCAATTGTCAACCGTTCCTAAAGAAACTATAGCAGTTCGGGGTATGGCTGTTGTTCCATACACTGTGAGTAAGGAAGTCACTGCATTTAAGGACATGGAATCATGTTAAGCTTGTCAGGAGAATCTTTATGTCCAGGACACAAGAGGGTTGAAGTGTACGAAAGGGGTGCTATAGAGCTCCCTCAATCAAATTTTCCTAAATCCTGTAGCCTTGGTAAATGAAAGTTTGTCAGCTCGGCAGAAACTAAAAAGAACAAAAAGTGTTTATTTATATGTAACTTATTGTAAACAAATATATCTAACCTAACTGAAACAAACGCTAAAAACAACATCTAAAATGTTTTTAATAATTTTCTGTCCAGTTTCCATAGTGCCCCCTGTCCTGTCGTCTGACCAATAAGAGCAAAAAGTAGTGTATAAGGTCAGCGGTCAGAGTCCAAGCAAAATGAAAGTCTTTTTTCGCTCTTAATGCAAGGACATAAAACTTTACCTGACCACCTAAACCGATTCTATGTAGATAAGTGTGGTGACTCTCTTAGTACAGCTTTCTATATCTGCCATTTTGCCATAGATCCTCTTGACACATTTTATGTACAGGTATTCATCAATCCAAAGTTGAAAGTGGTTGACTATCAAAAAGTATTACATTCTGAAGGATGCGAGAGTGTCAGAGGATTTGCTGCTTTAGTCCCTCGCTTTAGAGAAGTGGAGATATCAGGTAATCACTTCGGTACAAATAAATTTTATGGAGGTACAAAGAGTTTCAAATACAACTTATAATATTTTTTTTGTACCAGGCTATAATGAACAAGGAGAGCCATCAACAAAAACTTTCAAAGACTGGGCGGCGCGCATAGCCCAGCATGAAATGGACCATCTGGATGGCAAATTGTACACAGATGTTATGGATAGAAAAAGTTTAGAGTGTACATGTTGGGAAGAAGTTAACTTATCAGAAGGAAAGGTTGCCATACCATTCAGCCCAGAATAATGTAGTTTTTTTAAATTTTAGTTTTGTAAATAACCATTATGTGTGTCCAATTTTTTATTTCTTTTAAAATGAATTACATCAAAACTTCATTTAAGAATACACTCTCGTCCTGTAACTACCACCATACCGAAATTTCGATTCCGAAATTTGAATAGCTTGGACAAAAAAGGTTGACATTCCAGAAAGTCTAACAACATAGAATTGAAAATCTCTCTCATACGGCAGCATAAATGGATAAGGGCAGGGCAACAAAATATAAATCATAAATGAAGTTTTAATACAGGATTGTGAGACGAGAATTTTATGATATGAGAATTTTACTTTTTATTCCAAAAATTTAACCCTAAACCAAAAAATCCATACTAAAGGTTAGTGCTTATAAATAAAAAAGTTAATTTAATAGTTTAAGCACTTTATTAGACGAGCATAAACACAGAACCTGTGTTATGTTAGCTAACACTTCCTGTCTTTTAATAAATATACAATACATTATTACTCTAAAAACATTAACTATAATAATTACATCTTTTATGCTGTAAGTTTAAAATAAGAGACTTATGCAAACTACAATCAAAGACAGTAATTTCAAGAATAACCTGCTGAATATTTGGATTAATTGCTCTATTTAAAAGTTTATAATTTTATGCGTTTTTTTAACTATACCAATGGAGTCTATTCCAAAATACTCTATACTAAAAATACATTCAATAGTTTCATCCTTTAGAAGATATTATCGAATTTAGTTTAGCATTCAGAATAGACTCTAACAATAATATACAGGGTGATTTTGAAATCATTAGCATACATTGAACCTATTAATCTACTCATCTAAAGAAATATTTTAGAGTAATTAAAATTAGCAATAGCGTAAAACCAGTATTAAAAAAAATAAAAATGGACAAACCAGCAAATTTCATTGCAAAGTTGAAGGTCATAGATATGTTAGGACTTAATGACGACTACTGCGGGCGTTTGATACTAGAATATTTAGTGGAGTTAATTTATTTTTGTTTTATTTTCATGATTCATGTGTTTTAGCAGTAATAGTCTATCGCATGGTATGTGTGTAAAGTTTTTCTGGTTTTCATAAGTGACAATATTGATATTTTGATTTGTGAAATTTTTACCCTAATGTAATTGGTATCATGAGTAGTCTTATTTTAAAAGAATGCTAATGATTTAGTCTTCACTCTGTATAATAGAAATCTCTATTTAATATCATCATAATAACTTTTAATCCTCAGCCAAAATATTTCCATTCAATACAAAAGCATTTCATTCTCTTATTTGCAGCCTTCCATAAACATTAAGGGAATGTGGCAGTGAGACAATCACCTGAAGGATCGAACTGCACTTGCCTGTCACTTTGTCTATACACTATGTATGTCCGCACCTTTTTATATACATTGCAAATGCATTCATACTAAAGACAACATTGTATAGGCAAAATTTCCAGTAACGTGACTATATGAGTATAGTCCAAAAGCATATTAACTTGTAACACCATTCTTTTCAACCAAATCGTAATCAGAGTATAGTGCAGAAATACAGCCACTCGCTTCCACATACCCTAAAACCCAGTCTTACTCCCCCCCTACATATAAACTAGTTATCTCAACGGATTGCTGGCCAATGAGGTGAGGCTAGTGAGGCTGGGTGGCCCACTCGGTGCTAGACTCAATCTGTCAGTTTCTTCGTCGGCTTGGTTGTTTCGTAGCTCTTGGAGGGTGTACACAAATTTCGTCCATTCGTCGTGACGTGGTTGGGCGACATGCTGGAAGACATTTTAAGAAAATTATTGTATTTATAAGAACTTTACAATTTTATATTTTTTAGTTTTTATAATATCAAATGAAGCGACGAACAAGTCGTGCGCATGATAAACTACACGCCTGTCCATAACTGTAATAGTGCTACTCAAGAGCTGAAAATTGCACAGATCTGAGAGAAACTACCACTGCGTCAGTCGTGCTGCGACGTAAGTTGACAAGTCCCAATGTGCCTGTAATTTCACCAGCACCCTTACTCTTCAAAACTAGAACGCAGTAATGCTGACATTACTGCTTAGCAGCAGAAATAGGTAAGGTGACAGTACTTCCCTGGACGAACTCTTTCTTGCTTTGCTACTAATTTCAGTTACACCTTCACAGTTTTTCCTTCTGTTGATTACAAATTCTGCAACACTCCATCCATATTTTATTGATTAACCCATCTTTTTTCATTGTTTCCCCTCCTACATACAATACATTGTCGGATTTAAAAAATGTGATTTTTGAATCGATTTGGTTGCTCGCGAGTGTAGTTGGTGGAACTACTCACCTCAGCCAACTCGTAGACCCATATCTGGCCGGCGTCGTCGCCGGCAGTGACGTGCGTGCCCGAGGGCGTCCAGGACACGCGGTTGAAGGCGGCGCCGCCCTCCGCCTGGATCGACGCCACCGGCACCTGCAACGGGTTGTGGGATTAGTATTTTGGTGGGCCTGATGGTAAGCGACACTCCTGTCCATAACAGTTGCAGTGCAGGTCAAAAGGCTCTGCCACTTCGTTCGTCACCTCGAGACATAAGTCGACAAGACCCAGGTGCCTGTAATTTTACCAGCACCCTTACTTTTCAAAACCGGAACGTAGTAATGCAGCACTCATAGAGCTCCTTCTCTAGTACAGCACTCTCAGTGCCCGCCGTGGACCAGCTAGCCAGAGCCTCACCTCGGTGTCGCGGTTGAGATTCCAGAGGTCCAGCCTGCCCGCGGCGTCTACGGCGGCGAAGAGCGCGGGGTGCGCCGGCGACCAGCGCACGTCCGACACGTAGTCGCCGCTGTCTTCGAACGAGTATAGCGCCTTGCTCTCCTGCAACGAACGTCCTCGTTATGTTTGCAGCAACTTCAGGTTCATCGAAGCTGAAGCTGGTGGTGGAGGTTCGATGAAACTGGATAGCTCCAGGTGCAAAGTGTATTGACATAATCGACCCGTCCTACGTAAAGTATCGTATGTCGAAATTGCCAAGTTTACAGGGGAGCGTTTTAAAGTTCAGAATTCACTAAGTAACCAGATCATCGAATCTGATCACAGCACTCCATTAGTAAACTTATTTACTGTAATAAATAGTAAAGCACATTTTAATTTTTTGAAGTAACTATGACATTTATAGTTCTTAGGTTTTCGCGATTGTTACGCATAGGAAATGAAACTATTTTTATTTGTTTTTTCAAATAAATCAACGTTCCGGGCCCTTTACAGGACCTGTGGTCACGGTCGGGCCCTTTACAGGAC